TCACTGAGTTGCTTCGCACCTCACTTTTGCTGAGGCTGGCTTTGAACTCAAGATCCTCTTGCCTTAGCCTCCAGAGCTGCTGGTATCACAGGTGCCCAGCTAGAGAATAAAAATAAAATTATATTCATTCTGGCTATAAGGGTTTTATCAGATAATTTATAAATATATCCTCCTGACTGTCTTATCAGATTTTTTCCCAGTACTAGAGATTGAACCCAAAGTCTTGTGCATACTTAGCAAAGTACTCCATCACTGAGCTTTACTCAACCCTGTATAATCCTCCTTTTTTTCCCCTTCCAATACTGGGGTGCTGAGGATTGAACTCAGGGCAGTCTAGCACTGAACTACATACAATCCTTTTTAAAATTTTGAGACAGGGTCTTGCTAAATTGCCCCAGTCTGGCCTCGAACTTGTAATCCTCCTGCCTTGGCCTCCCAAGTTGCTGGGATCAATGGTCTGTGCCACTACACCTCGCTGTCTAATCTTTTTTTTGATGGTATCTTTTGAAAAGCAAGTTTTTAACTTTGATAAAACCCAGTGTATATATTTCTTTTATAGATTGTGATAGTGAAGTCATCTATAAAGACAGAAAATCATGAAGATTTTCTCCTATGTTTTCTTCTAATTTTGTTTACTTGGATCTATGATCCAGTTAGAGTTAATTTGTGTATGCGGTGACAATAAATGGTGTAATTTTTGCATAGGGTTAATTCTGCATATAGATTCATGTGCATTTTTGCATCCCTAGCTGAGTGACCTTGGCACCTTTGTTTTAAAAACCACTTCACTAGCTGGGCATGCTGTTGTACGTAGACTCAGCTACTTAGGAGGGTGCTGGAGAATCACTGGAACCCTCTAGCTCAAAATCAGCATGGACAACTTTGTGAGACCCTGCTAAATTTTTACTCCTCACACTTCAGATAGAGCCCTAATATCCAGAGTATATAAAGAACTCAAAAAATTAAACAATAAGAAAACAAACAACCCAATCAACAAATGGGCCAAGGACCTGAACAGACACTTCTCAGAGGAGGACATACAGTCAATCAACAAGTACACGAAAAAATGCTCACCATCTCTAGCAGTCAGAGATATTTTTGTGGTATGTATCAAAACAATGATTAAAACTAAAAGAAGATTAAATTAGATCAGCTTGCCTAAAGGAAAATCGTATTTTCTAATGGAACTTTTATTTTGCATAAATAAGCTATTTTAAGGTTGACTAAATTCTGCAAAGTTGCTTGAAGAAAATACTGGGGATAAGAAAAATAAATAACATTTCAAAATTCAGAATTGTGGCTCAGTGGTAGAGCACTCATCTAGCACATGCAAGGCCCTGGGTTCTATCCTCAGCACCACATAATTAATTAATAAATAAATAAATAAATAAATAAATAAATAAATAAATAAATAAATAAATAAATGTATTGTGTCCAACTACAACTAAAAATAAACATTAAAAAAATTCAGAATCACTCATATGGGTCCTATAAACTGGAGACTTATCTCTTTCTTGCCTTAAATCTGGGACAGGAGTCTCTGTGTTTCTCCTTTGCTAACAAATAAATAAAATTTCTTTTTTCTAAAAACTTTGTTCTCATGTTTGGATTGGCAACAGAGCCAAAGACTGAACATGGTCCTGATACCATGAGCAAGGACTAACTTACCTGTAGATGTATGTTATGGCTCAGAACTTTAAGAAGACAAAGAAAGACTAGAACAGTGCCATGTACCTATAACCCCAGCAACTTGGGAGGTTGAGACAGGAGGATCACATATTCAAGGTCAGTCTCAGCAACTTGGCAAGGCCCTAAGCAACTTAGTGAAACCCTATCTCAAAGAAAAAGAAAAAATAGTGCTAGGGATATAGCTCAGTGGTAGAGTAACCTGAAAAGAAAACCAACAATCCCCAATTCAAATCCAGTCTGGTCTTTCAGGTCTTTAGGAAGATACATTTTCAAAATAAAAAAATCAAATACATTCTATTTAATAGCTTGACTTAAAATGCTATGTGGGCCTCCATTTGGATACTTGCCCTAGACCTCTCAAATAAAGCAGGTCTTCTCATGCCTGACCTTTCCACATCCAGATTCATATCCAACTGCCTATGGATATGAGAAATAACCTCCTGGAACCTAACAAATATCTAAAATTCAATATGGTCTAGACACTCTCTTGATTTTCTTCTGCAAATATACTCTAATCCTAATATCTCCCATTCCTGTAAATGTCCTATCACTTGTTTAGCTGCTCTGTTTATTCCTGCCCTAATAATCCACTCTCTATTCTGAAATCAGAATTGTCTTTTTAAACATGTATCACGAAAGTTTACTCCCCTGATTAAAATCTTCCCATGGGAGAATGGATCAACAAAATATGGTACAACCATGCAATAGAACACTTTTCAGCCACTAAAAGGGAATAAGACACTAATACATATTACAATATAGATGAAATTTGAAAATATTCTAAGTGAAGCTGGGTGTGATGGTGCACCCCTGTAATCCTAGCGATTCAGAAGGCTGAGGCAGAGGAATTACAAGTTTAAGACTAGCCTGGACAGTGAAATCCTGTCTCAAAATAAAAAATAAAAAGGGGTAGGAATGTAGCTCAGTGGTAAAATATACCCCGAGGTTCTGCACTGTGGGGTGTGGGGGTTTGGGTCCATCACAATACCCAGTGCATACCTGTAATCCCAATCACTTGGGAGGCTGAAGCAGGCCTCAGGAATTTAGTGAGATGTTCAGCACTTAGCAAGACCTTGTCTCAAAATTAAAAAAAAAAAAAAAAAAAGACTGAGCATGTAGCTCAGTGATAAAGGGTTCCTGTTTCAATTCCAAGTTGCAAGAAAGAAAAGAAAAATTTTTAAGAGAAGCCTATTAAGGTCTCTTAATGTATGATTTAAATATTCAGATTAGGTAAATCCATGGAAACACAAAGTAGAGTGGTAGTTACCAGTAACTGGGGTAAGTGGGAATGGAGACTGACTGCTGGTGGGTGTGGTATTTCTTTTGGGGCTGTTAAAGATTCTGGAATTGCCTAGCATTATGGTTGCACAAATTTGTATGAGAGTACTAAAAGCCACTGAACTATGTCATTTGAAAAGAGTGATTTTTATGTTTATGAATTATACCTCAATTTTAAAATAAAAGAATCAGGAAAAAACTTAACAAAAGTTGTTTTTAATTATACAATGCCTTACTAGATATGTGTATTTGATTTGGGGGGGGGTAGGGGCATGGGTGGAGGTGGGTAATGGGGATTGAACTCAGGGGCACTTGACTACTATCCCCAGCCCTATTTTGTATTTTATTTAGAGAAAGGGTCTCACTGAGTTGCTTAGCACCTCGCTTTTGATGAGGCTGGCTTTGAACACTCAATCCTCCTGCCTCAGCCTCCCCAGCCATTGGGATTATAGGTGTGCACCACAGAGCCCAGCTTAATATTTTTCCTTTTTCTCTTCTTTTTGGTGGTGCTGAGGATGGAACCCAGGATCTCTGGCTACATGCACAGCCCTTCCTGGGCTATTAAGGCTCCATGAAAATTGTGAAACAAAACTATTTGGAAGCCAATGAGAATTAGGATACACAAAACTTCCTTCCACGATTAAGCAACAACTAGCTTTCTTCCTTTGAGAAAAATGAAAGTTAAAATTATTTTCCAAAACTGAAAGCAAAACTACTCCAATGCCTTCTCTTTTTCTTAAAACACACACTCCATTAGTGCTCAGCCAATGAGAAATCAGAGGAAGAAACTTGCACTCTAGGGAATAAAATGCTGGTTGTAGGGCTGGGGTTGTGGCTCAGTGGTAGAGCCCTTGCATAGGAGGCTTGAGGCACTGAGTACGATTCTTAGCTCCAAATTAAAAAAAAAAAAACAACTAAACATTTTCTTTAAAATGCCGATTGTAACTGTTCTTGGGGGTGAGACCACCATTAAAGTAAAGTTTCGCTTTCTCTGTATAAATAAGTAGAAAACGCAGACCTTCATACTGTTGCTCACTCAATGTAGTGGGTGACTTTCCAACCTGCTACTCTTCCCTGAGCTCACTGCAAGTTATACTGGACTTCTTTCTGGTCCACAAACAAACCAAGATCCTTTCCTTTCAAGGGACTTATGAGAAATATATCAGTTAAGTTTGAATTTCAGAAAAAAAAATTTTTAGGTGTAAGTATGCAGCATTATCATTATTTTTCTTTAATTCACTTAATTGGCAGCCCTGGATTTTTATTTGCTAAATCTGGCATCTCTAAAAAGATAAGATCTTCTTTGCTAACTAAAAATGAACAGCTTTCCGCAGTTCATCGCTACTATTTGTTTTTGTTCGTTTACTAAGCTGTCTGTATAACTTTGACCGGGTTTGTAACACGGATAAAGCCTACTTCACAAAAAAATGTGAGGCTTAAATAGACACCAAGCGTGTACCGTTTTTAGCATACAAAATGTTCACTAAATGGGACTTAATGTATATTAGTCATTATCAGAAACTCAGTTGGGCGCTTGGTTGCCGGCCCCGCCAGAGTTGAACCCTCCACAGTTCAGGAAAAGGCGAGCAGGGTGAACAATACCATAGAGAGGAAACGAGCTACGCTTTCCACGTCCCCAGTGAGCCTTCCAATTCGGGTGGGAACCCCTACACCCTCACTCAGTCCAGCCCCAGGGAGTATGAGGAAGACGCCTCCAGAAAACCCGCTCAACGCCCGCCTCAGTTCGCAAAGTAGAGCGAGTGACGCCGCCCAACCTCTTCCGGTTTGATGTACCTCCCCCTCCGGGCCCCAAGTTGCACTTTCAACAAAGCTTGGAGTACAATATTTCTCTCTAGCACATATATATATATATTTCCTCCACCTCAATAAACCTAACTCTGGTTTAATATAAAAATTAATTGGCTAGTAATTAGAGAAAAGTATTGCTATGAAAAGGAGCAGATAAGCACGCCTAGCGAAAGTGCGTGGCTCGAGCTTTGTGCGCCTTCTCCTAGCCTGCCGGAAGTCGCTGGGTCGGAATGGGTTCCGGAGCCGGCGGATGTAGCTTCTCAGTCTTCACTTGACACCGGGCGGCTGCTTGGCTGCTGGTCTTGTCAGCCTCTGGGTTGCCAGGTTCATGTGGAGGCTCCCAAGCACCCGCGCCGTACTTCGTGGGGTCCGGACGGCGGTGGAGCAGCACAGCCGGACTGAAGCGGCTCCTGAAAAGGCGGCAGGCGCGATGGAGCGCGCTGTAGTGCGCTGTGTTCCCTCGGAGCCCAAGCTGAGCTTGTCGTTTGCACTGGCCGACGGCAGCCACAAGAACATGCAGCGCGACCAGAGTGAGCCGCTGGGTCGGGCCCTCAGCCGGATCGCTACCAATGCCCTCAAGGGCCACGCTAAGGCAGCCGCAGCTAGAAAGAACCGGAAGAACCGGTCCAACGCGAGCGGTGGCGCGGCCTGTGCAGGGTCTGGGTCGGAGACGGCAGCAATCTGCGAGCCCGTGGTAAAGCTGTACTACCGAGAAGAAGCAGTGGCTGAGGATGTGCTCAACGTGGACGCCTGGCAGGACGGCGCGGTGCTGCAGATTGGCGATGTCAAGTACAAGGTGGAGCGCAACCCACCCGCCTTCACCGAGCTTCAGTTGCCACGCTACATCATGGCCGGCTTCCCCGTGTGCCCTAAGCTCAGCCTTGAATTTGGGGATCCGTCTGGCTCTCTCTACCGCTGGTACAAGGAAGCCAACCCTGGTGCCGCGGAACCTGAAGGTGGTGGCCCTTCGTCATTGTCTCCCTCTTCGCCATCTTCTACTTGGACCGAAACGGATGTGAATGAGCGCGTCTACATCCCGTCCAATGCTGACATCGGACTACGGCTGAAACTTCACTGCACTCCAGGCAATGGGCAGCGTTTCGGGCCGAGCAGGGAATTGGAAAGTGTGTGTCCAGTGGAGGCTGGGCCTGGTACTTGCACTTTTGACCATCGGCATCTCTACACCAAAAAAGTGACAGAGGACGCTCTCATCCGCACTGTCTCCTACAACATTTTGGCAGACACGTATGCCCAGACTGAGTTCTCACGGACTGTTCTGTACCCATACTGTGCCCCCTATGCCCTGGAGCTTGATTACCGCCAGAATCTTATCCAGAAGGAACTCACAGGCTACAATGCCGACCTCATCTGTTTGCAGGAGGTTGACCGCGCGGTGTTTTCGGACAGTTTGGTACCCGCATTGGAGGCTTTCGGGCTGGAGGGCGTGTTTCGAATCAAGCAGCACGAAGGCCTGGCCACTTTTTACCGGAAGTCAAAGTTCAACCTCCTTAGCCAGCATGACATTTCTTTCCAAGAAGCCCTGGAGTCTGACCCACTTCACAAAGAATTGCTGCAGAAACTAGTCTTGTACCCATTGGCACAGGAAAGAGTGCTCCAGAGATCTTCTGTCCTTCAGGTGAAGTAGCTCTTTTTTCATACTTTCCCATTTTTAGGAGCCTGGAATGCGGGGTAGAGGGAGGGCAGCAGAGGTTATGATTGAAATCATCCAAATTTTATTGAAATGTTAAAAGTTTAATTTTCATTTATTTGGCATTTATTGAGCACTCTTGTGTGCCTCCTGTGCTGCAGGTTGCCTTCAGCAAGACAAATAAGGATTTTCTTAGTGCCTCACAATCTGGGGGAGATATGTTAAATACAAGAATAATAGCAATATTTAATTTTTTAACTACTTGTCAAGCACTGTTCTGACATATTTTAAAGTACTTAAAGTGCTTGGTGACCTTTGCCATGTGCTTCATAACTATTAACTAGTAGTCTTTATCATTGGAGCATTTAATCTTCACAGTAATCCCTGTGTTCTCATTTTACAGATGTGATTCTGCTCATTTTATAAATGGTCAAATTTACTTATCCATATTCACACAAACATGGAGCCAGGATTCTCAACTATATACATATAACAATCATCACTGGGCTGAGTATTAACTGCTACTTAAAGCTATCTTTGTTTTTAGAAATATATTTACTGTGTTTGTCCAGAATTTTGAGGTCATTGGTTTGGTTCAGAGTAAAAAGAGTTAGCTACCTTTTGGGGTTTTCTGGAGCACCTGTGTTTTATGCACCTTTTTGTAAATTTATTTAATTGAATACACATTGAAGTCCTCTATGAGGTAAGGATAGAGTTTTTTTACCATTATGAAACTAGCTTAGAAGTGTGTTTCTCCATGTCATACTGCTGTGTTGAATATTCAAACATAGGTCCATCTGACTCCAAAGCCTGCCCCTGACCACTAGAAAACAGTCTCCAACCTTAATATTTTCATCTATAATGTATCATATTAGCTTTATATGTTGGACTATTAAAATACATTACACTAAATCCTACTCATATATATTCTAAAACTTTTCATACTTGATATCAGTTCATCAAGGGAAGGATATGGAATAAAATGTCCATCATATAGACTTAGATTAAAAAAAATCTGGGGCTGGGGTTGTGACTCAGAGGGAGAGCACTTGCCTATGCATGAGGCACTGGGTTCAATCCTCAGCACCACATAAAAATATTGTGCCCACCTAAAACTAAAAAATAAACATTAAAAAAATTTTTTTCAGGAGATTGACAGACATCAATTGACTTCCTGACACTTTCCATTTATTTTAGGTTTCAGTTCTTCAATCTACAAAGGAGTCTTCTAAAAAGATATGTGTTGCTAATACCCATCTCTACTGGCATCCAAAAGGTACATTTTATTTTTTGTGACTTAAACATGGTGACTCAATGTTATTAAATCTGTTTCACACATATATTTTGAGTGTCACCATATGAAATTTTTTTTTTCTTTTAAAAGACTACTTTAAAAAGTACTTACATTAATGTTTTTTATATTCATAGGTGGGTACATTCGTCTCATTCAAATGGCAGTAGCTTTGGCTCACATTAGACATGTCTCATGTGATCTGTATCCTGGCATACCAGTTATATTTTGTGGGGACTTTAATAGTACACCATCAACAGGAATGTATCATTTTGTCATCACTGGCAACATTCCAGAGGATCATGAAGACTGGGCTTCCAATGGGGAAGAAGAAAGATGCAACATGTCTCTAACACATTTCTTCAAACTGAAAAGTGCTTGTGGTGAACCAGCTTACACAAATTATGTTGGTGGCTTTCATGGATGTCTAGATTACATTTTCATTGACTTACATGCTTTAGAGGTTGAACAGGTGATTCCATTACCTAGTCATGAAGAAGTTACCACCCACCAGGCCTTACCTAGTGTTTCCCATCCTTCTGATCACATAGCACTTGTATGTGATCTAAAATGGAAATAGATTTCTGTTTAATGGAATTTAAGTATAAAAAGGAAATTAGTTACTTTGTAGAAAATTTGGTATGAATCAAAGCTAATATGTAACTTTCAAAGAGGAAATAATAGACTCAATGGTAAAACTTTCTATTCATTCCCTACTAGTTATGTTCCAAGACTATTTATGTTTGCATCATATAGACCCTTTTTCCCCCTACACTTGGAGGTAAAGCAAATATATTTATGGAGAAACAGGAAGTTCAAATATTGTGTACATTTTTATAAATGATTTTTAATATAATTAAGAATTTTTTAAGTACCATTTGAATGATCTTTTAATTTTTTTCATGACACATTTCAGATTGAATCATGTTTATTTAATTATATGAAAAAATGCATACAGGTTAAGGTGAAAGACCTAAATTCTGACACATGGAATAACCTTAGGGTCTACCTCTACCTCAATTTTGTCAGCATTTTATTACAATTTCGGAGTTGACAAAAAATTAAAGTTGTTGTTGTTGATTGCTTCTGTTTTTTTTTCTCCACCCCCCACCCCCAAGTACTAGGACTTAAACCTGAGGCTCTCACACAGTAGGCAAGTGCTTTGTCATTGAGCTACATCCCCAATCCTTTTTGAGATGGTCTAAGTTGCCCAGGCTGGCCTTGAACTTGGGATGTTCCTGCCTCAGCCTCCCCAGCCTCCCATGCACCACTGTAACCAACTTCCGTTTTTCAGCTAGTTTTTCAGTGTCTTCATTCTCTAGTATTTTTGTTGTTAATATATGGTAAAATGGACATAATTTATATTCTGAGTCATACAGCAGCTCATTTTAATTTCTAGTATGTAAGCACAATTTAGTATTCAAAGTAAATAGCAACATTTGATCCCATTTTATTTAATTACTCTTGCCTACAAAAAACTTAAGACAAAAGAGTATTTGACCAGGTGATATTAACAAAATACAGCATAATACATTATTTTTGAGAAACTGCCTACTGATATGGACTCGAAACTTTGGATAAACTCATTCAGCATTTCTATGCCATAAGCATTTTCAAAATTGTTAGTTTTTATGAATAGGGAATAGAGAAGTAGTTTGGCTTTTGAGTATATCTGAAATAAAAACTTACTTTTATAGGTAAGCATTATAATTTATTGTAAAACAAGATTTAAATAGGAGGCCAAACTCTTTTAAGATTAGAAATTACAAACAGCCTACAATGATAACTAAGCTATACTAATTTATCACCATACTTTATTTGTAATGCTTAAGCTGTTGATATTCAAGATAACTATAGTGTTCTCTCATATTTCTGCATTTAATTTCTAGATTAGGTATTAAATCCTACTCATCTCAAGAAAAGCTCTGATTTTCCAGTTATGAAAATGCTAGTTTCAAATTCTTCTCTGAATCCAATACCATAAGAATTGTCTTCTTTAGATAATCTGCTGTCAGATGTATTGTTATCTCTTAGTTTAGTAAGTTTGAGAATGAAATTTTACCTGCCCTTCAGATTAAACCTTGAAGTACTTGAAGGGAAAGATTAAGGTACCAGATTGAACTGGGGATTGAACTCCGGGGCACTCAATCACTGTACCACATCCCCAACCCTATTTTGTATTTTATTAAGAGACTGAGTTGCTTAGCACCTTAGCCAGCTGAGGCTGGCTTTGAACTCACAATCCTCCTGCCTCAGCCTCCAGAGCCACTGGGATTACAGGCATGTGCCTTTATGCCCAGCAAGGTGGCAGTCTTGTGATCTTATTTAGAAAGAGCTATTAAATGGGGGCGGGGTGGGGGGAAAATCGATGCTACTGACTTGTGCCTTCCTAAAAACCATTTTCAAGAGCATTTTAACAGCAGTTTATAAATAAACAAATAAAGCTAAAATCTGATTTTTTTTATATATACTTTTTCTTTCTTTTAAAAGTTTGGTTTTGGTCTGCTTCCAAATACACGTTGACAGACCCATATAGTAACTTAAGAGAAAACAAGTTTCTCAAAAAAATGTTTAAAAAAAATTTCTAATGTGATATAATTACCCATGTCCATGAAAAGAACACACAGTTTCTATATTATACAAGTCCTAGCTAGATTGGAATCTAGTCAGAAAAACTCTTTAAGCACTTACTAAATAGTCCATATATCCTAAATACCTAAAGTTGGTATTTCCTGACTAAATAGTGTAATCAGATTATATACAGGTATTTAAAGATATGTTATTTTGAAGTGCTATATAGTCAGATCTCCCATACACAGATACATTAGAATGACTCGAGTCCAAAGGTAGATAGATGACAGTAAGAAAATTATGTAAGTAGCATACCAAAATTTCCTACATTCATAAGTTAAGACAAAGTGTTATTCAGAAATGTTTAAAGCTATCTGTGATTGAATTTTTCTATTACATTGGAATTTTCAGTATATTTTATTATAACAAATATGGGAAGTTTAACAACTTTTTATGGCACATCACATTTTATAATGTCCTAAGTTCTTGCTGCAGGAATTAACATTTCAAAATTTTATAGCTATAAATGAGTAGAAGTATTTTAATATATGTTCTTCTATTTTTTTAATATTTATTTTTTAGTTGTAGTTGGATACAACACCTTTATTTCACTTGTTTATTTTTGTATGTGGTGCTGAGGATCGAACCCACAGTCTCGCACGTGCGAGGCAAGCGCCTTACCGCTGAGCCACAACCCCAGCCTAAGATATGTTATTCTATTAAAATGATCTCTTGCAAAGTTGTCACTACAGCAAATATATACATTGATATTCAGAATTCATTAGCAAACAAATCATTTCTGGCAACAATGTGTGTTGTTTTAAAATTTTGAATATTAAAATCAGTTGTTCCAAATTTCCTTTTGAATGTGGTGCTTCATACTGGAGGATAGATGTCTGAAGAGCAAACAAAAAGAGAAAAGATGGGAACTGTACTGTGGGAAGAAAGATCTCCCTAGCCAAAACAGTCATTTTTGGATCTCACGTTTTAGCTCTGAAATATAGGCAAAGGTTTCCTATAAACTAATCCTTTTAAGTAAAATCCAAAATCCATATATAATAATAAAAAGATATTGCATATTAATTTAACAAGACCCAAATGAACAACTCATTAGGAAAAATCTTTCCTCTAAAATCAATTCAAAAACATTTAAATTATTGAAACTTTTTAATATTGGTCCTTTTTTATAAGGAAATATTGCTACATTCTGAGATGATACCAAAGCATTTTTTAAATGAAATTCACATAGGATTAACCATTTTAATGTGTATAATGCATTCACAATGTTGTACAACCATCTAGTTCCAAAGCATTTTCATTATCTCCAAAGGAACAAGCAGTCAATCCCCAGTCTCACCTCCCCCAGCAACTGAAAACTACTAATCTGCTAGTGATCTATTTTTTGTTTCATCTAAATGTAATCCATATGATCTTCTGTATCTGGCCTTTTTCATTTAACATATATTTTCAGGGTTCATCCCTTCTTATGGCTGAATGACAGTCTATGTAGATATACCACATTCGCTTATCTAAATGGACACTTAAACTTGTATGGCTTATGTCTTTTGGCTATTTTGACTAGTGCTGCTATAAACATCTGTGCAGTTTTTTTGGTTTGAATCTGTTCTTCCCAGTATATACCTAAGAGTGGATTGCAGGGCTGTATAATTCTGTTTTCTTGTTGTATAATTTTACATTCCCTCAGTGATGTATGAGGATCCCCCATTTTCTCCACATCCTCACCAAATAGTGGGTTTGAAGTGATATCTCTACCAGTGCTTTTGTGTTTGTATGTGGTACTGGGTATTGAATCTAGGGCCTTGTGCATGTGAGGCAAGCACTCTACCAACTGAGTTATATCCCCAGCCCCTACCAATGTTTTTTGTTTTGTTTTTTTGGGGTGTGAGGAGGTACTAGAGATTGAACTTGGATACTCCACCACTGAGCCACATCCCCAGCCCTAATTTGTATTTTATTTAGACACAGGGTCTGAGTTGCTTAGTGCCTTGCCATTGCTGAGGCTGGCTTACACAACTTCCTATTTTCCAAGAAGGCAAATATTCAGTTCCTTCTCATTTTACAAGCTTGTGTCAAGTGGGAAAGGTCAGTTTCCTGGCTTCCTTTGAAGAAATTTGAGAAGACAAAAATTAGAAAAATACCAAAGTGTAAGCTGTAAATAAAAAACCTAAGATAACAAAAAGTTAAGTCTTAAAATGTTTGTCTCAGAATGAACTTGTTTAGTAACACTGGCTTACAATTAACAATGCTTTTTAAATCTTAGGTACACAGAATAATAGATCACAAGAATGTATAAATACTGCTGGGTATAGTGTAGTGGCACATGCTTGAAATCCCAGTGACCCTGGTTGATGTGGATTCATTGTTATGACATCGAACTCTGGGATGTCAAAATCCACATTTGTGTAGGTTTTAATCATAATTTTAAATTTCCTTGAAAACTTTCTCTAAAAACAATTCATCTCCATCTGCCCATTTTGTGTTGATGCTGTCAAAACATTTGCATAACACAGTTCATTGTGCCCAGTAACTCATCTTAATGATTTCATCCTGAAGTGTTGCCAATGGACATTTTCTTAGTGTGCTGAAGTATTCCTGGGTTATATTTTTACTAGTCTGTCCTATTTGTGTTCTTTCTATATTTAACTTGATTCAGTAGAGAAGTCAATTGGATTTGGACGTTGTATTGGATGAATATGCACTTTTACAAGAATTATCAAATATCTTTATTTCCCTTGTAGAATAATTTAGAAATAATGGCATACTACCCTTAACATCCTTTTATTACATATCTTGGAAGTCTGGCTTTTTGCATATTGCATTGTGTCCTTTTTCTTTTCTCCAAATGAACTAACTCCATGATGATTTGGTTCTTCTATCCTAAATTGATATTTTTTTGTCTATAAGGGATTTCATTGCCTGTCAATTTAGTTCACAGGCCCTAAAAGAAACCCTAGCAGTCACTCCCCATTCTCCCTAGCTCCTGGCAACCACTTACCTACTTTGTCTATATGAATGTCTACTCTGTACCTTTCATATAATTGGAATCAAATTATTATGCAGTTTTTTGATTGGCTTATTTTCATTAAGATGTGCCCATGTTGTAGCATATATTAGTACTCATTTTTATGAATATTCCATTTCATGCATACCACATTTATCATTTGTCAGTTTACAGACATTTGGATTACTTCTATTTGCCTTCTAGAGTACTTCTATTTGCTGCAACAAATATTTGTGTACACGTTTTTTAGTAGATAGATGTTCACGTGGGATCTGTTATACCTTTTGAGGATCTACTGAAATATTACCAAAATTAATACTATTAACTAAAGTACTATTTTACATTCCCACCAGCAATACACATAGGTTCTAATATCTCTACATAAAATAAATGTATTAATAAATTTTATTGTTAACATCTTATTATAAAAATAATACATGCCCTTGTAGTTGCAGTGGTACTTACCTGTAATCCCAACTACTGAGGA